TTCTTGCGCGCGCTGTCGTGAAGTGGCCGCGCCGCACTGACATCGGCCATGCAGCCACTCCGGAGTCTGCCCGGGCGGGATCTGGGAGGCTTTCTTTTACCGGTGTGCTGCGGCGCGGGCCTGCAATGCATGGGGGTGGCGCTCCTTGAAACTGACGCTCGCCGGCCAATACACAAACTCAACTTCGTTACGTCACACCCCGGTGGTGGCGCGTCGGGCGCACTTCCGGTCTGGAGCTGTAGGCAGAAGTCACCATGTGAGACGTGCATTCCTGCGTTGTTTTGAAAGAGAACACGAAAACCTCCCTACACGTGAAAACACCACGACTGGGGCTGTACTAAAAGAGTCGAAAAAGGTTTGAAGGTCAGTTTTCATGCGCTCAGTTCGTCCAAAAACGTGGATATGTGCCGTGAAAAGGGAAAACCAGACGCCGTCGGACTACGATTGCTTGGGCGGGAAGCATTTTGGGTTGAATTCACAGATACTTGTGGTCATCAGATTTATTTGTTTTGTTCCAACATGAACGCGGGAAAACATCAAGTTGTACAGGCCGCCTGCGGACTACGTTCAGTGCGTCTTAAAGTTCAAACAGTCGCCTGATCGTTCGAACTGTCGTCTGCTCTTTCAGCTTACTCCGGCCCGTAGGCCAAATGTTGGTTGGTAATTGCGATAAGAAGTAAAGTGAAGGCCTAAAAAGACTTTTAAGTTTGAAGGTTGGTTGGGGTAAGCAGGCTTGGTGTAAACAGTAGATACAAGATGTTGATTATTGTTACCAGTGGCTACCACCAACTTGTTATGCCTGATTTACTCGGTCCGATTCTGCTTGCAATTTTCAGTATTGACGTCAACAATCTCAGCTACGGTTCACGGTTTTGCAGTCCGAGCGATGTTGCGACTGAAAATTGCGAGCAGAGTCTCATCATGCGAATCAGGCTTCAGCGTCCATTCTGCGGCGTCCACGCGGAAGGAATCGCCGCATGTCACATTATTCACGCAATGTTTTGCAGTGTAACGAGCTTCGGTAATTTCGCTGAGGCTGCTCAAGTAGTCAGACATTGCCAGGAATACGTAGAATCAACAATTCCAACGCGAAAAAGAGCACGGGGACTCACACCGACGCCGACAACAGCGCATTTCAATGGTTTGTTTCTGAGCGACGGCGAGCTTCTTGCCCACACTCCATTGCGCATGCACGGTGCCGTTGCGCCCGCTAGGGGCATTCCGGTTTGTTTGTAAACATGAGTTGGTCTATAGGAGCCTTGTTCCTTGAAACTATGACGCGCACCTTTGGAGAGGTGAATTTAGCTGCCATTTTGCATGGCTTTTTTCACGGCTTCAAAGCTGCGAGGCTTCAGATCGTGGCTTTACTTCGCTCCATTGAGAGAGGGGAATTTAGCTGCTGTTTGTCGCGGTTTTTGGTGCGGCTTCAATGCTGATAACGTCGGCTCGCTCCATGGGACCCCAGTTAATGCTTTCTCATTAAAAAATATTTGACGGCATAAAATTGTTGCCTTTGAACTCGAGCGCAGTTTGCAAGTCGTTTAAACGAAAGTGACTTTTTTCACAATTTTGAAGTGCGTGAGGTGGTGGTATAATCTTGTGACAAAGAGGCAAGCTCGTATAAGACGAAACTTGTCTACTGACCGATTCAGGATCAACTTTTTGTGTACAGCGAGATCTGTCTTTCTGTGTCTCTCTTTTAGTCACTTCCTTTGTTGATCTGTTTGCATTTGCACACATACATACTTGTTTTTTGAGCGTAGCCCTTATGGAGGCCGTTCTTGGCTTGAGCGGCGTCGCCATTGGCGTAATTGCGCTGTGAATTATGGGACGTTTCCCATGATGTCACACGTGACGTCACGTGTGACGTCATGAGGATCACCAGTGTTGTCACTCGTGACGACACCGCACGTTGCATTATGGGTTAATTTCCCTGCTAAATGTAGCGGAAAAATTTTCCCGCTATATTTAGCGGAAAAATTTCCCCGCTAAATTTAGCCTGAAAATTTCTTTGCTAAATTTAGCGGAAAATCCCTGCTAAATTTAGTGGGAACATTTTCTGCAAAATTTAGCGGGAAAATTTCTCGGCTAAATTTAGCGGGAAAATTTTCTACCCGCTAAGTTTGGCGAGAAATTTTCTACTAAATAGGAGGCGAGCAGAAGAGGAGGAGGGGAGGGTACGCATGACGAGCAGAGGCATATCCTCCTCTCCGTACCTTCCCCTCCTCCTCCTTAAGAGCTGCGCTCTAATTCGGCGTTACAGGGGATCCTAAACGTCTTTCTTTTTTTAGAGTGCAGCTCTTAGGCGTCCGTTTTAGGCTTGAGCGCTGTTGCCGTCGGCGCAACCGCAAGGTCACGTGACCACCCCCCCCAGGTCACGTGCCTCCCCAGGTCACGTGACCCCCAGGTCGGCATAACCATAAGGTCACGTGACCCCCTCATGTCACGTGACCCCTTCAGGTCACATGACCCCTTCAGGTCACATGGTCAGGTGACCCCCGAGATCAGGTGACCCCCCTGAGGTCTGGTGACCCCCTGAGTGCAAGTGACCCCCCTCCCTCGAGGTCACGTGATCCCCCTGACGTCACACGACCCCCCCTGAGGTCACATGACCTCAAGGAGTCGCCTATCCCTCAGTATGCTTCCATCCTCCTCCTCAAGAGCTACGCTGTAACTGGCATTACAGGAAATTGTGAACGGCTTTCTTTTTTTTTTTTTCTTTTGCATTTTTATTTGCTTGCATAAGGTACCACATAATTGACGAAAGAAGTGGAAGATAGACACAAAGCTCACCTCTCCGATTGGCACGGAAGAGCACCGATTTTTGCTTGTGGTCAGCCTGCTATACACTTGTTTGCTTGATGGTATTTTTTTATGAAAACAAAATAAATTTGCATGTACAGCATCCAATTGCAAACAACCGATAAATAAGAACATTTCTGAGATTTGTTTTGCGGGAAAGGATTTTTGTGAAAAAGGTGTTCTTCTGGGAAAATTATCATAGTGAAATTGGCGTGACTTAAAGGTTTACAGAAACGAAATTCCAGCGCTCATTTTCTAGCTTAAATGCGTTGCATGTTGCAGCATAACCTCAAAAACACCAGTCTTTCGTTGAAAGGCAGAAGAATACCAAATTTAAAGCTAATTAAACAATCTTTCAATGTGCACCTGGTGGGTGCCTGTGAAGATTAGATGGGAGGTAATCTAGCAACGTTGGGAATCCTGCTACGTAGTCGCGACGTACAGTCAAACCCGTTTATAACGAACAGCAGGGAACGCTACGATCAGTTCGATATAGCAAAACACATTTACCACAAACTTCCGTGATGCATTCGTTGTAAGGCGAGGGCTTCTTTTCTTTCTCATCTCTTCGCATCCGCCTTGTAACAATGCGCTAAAAAGTTTTTTTTTTTTTTTTTTCATGTGTGCAGAGTTCTTTTTTTTTTTAGTTTATCTCCTTTTCTGAATCGCTTCTTTTCGTGGGCAACTGTTTTGGGATAAAAAATTTTTTTTTTTTTTTTTTTGTGAGTGAGTGCATAGTTATTTTTTAGCTTTCTCCCCTTCTGAATTTCTTTTCTTCGCTCAATTTTGTACGCAACTTGAGCTTTTGAAAATTTCTTTCTTTCCTACTTTTTTTTTTGAAAGGGGGGAGGGGGGGGACAGGCTAGAAGACGATTGTTTGCACGTTTTTGGAAGCCTTCCCGGAGAAAAAGTTTGATATAGCCAATATGTTGTTGGTTATAAAAAGTACTTTTTACGTGCATTTTTATTTAAATTTTTTGTGAGTTCGATATCGACAATAATTCGCTGTACGTGGGTTCTTTCTAAACGGGTTTCACTGTAACAGGAACCGTTACGTAGCCGCACTAAACATCAGAGCAGCACCGCTCTTTGGAAGTACACTCAACTGTTTTAAGTTACCTCGGCCTGAATGCTATTGCAAAGCCTTTGCTCCTTTTCGGAGGAAGCCATCGAGGTGCCATGATGGACTCTGAGAATTGTCGTAGAGTTGTTCCTGTGTCTTTACTGTACAGTTCGAAGCCTTTCTGCACTTTTTATTGTTGAGATGTAGCTGCGCTTTTGCATGGCTGGGAACTGTGGTTTGGTCAACAGCGATATGCCGATCCACAATTTTTCGGACGACGAGAAACTTTGTGCCTTGTTGTTCCGGCTCGCCCGTCCGTCGTTTCCGACGTGGCGCGACGAGCGTCTCACCACACATGAGACACTCGTCACTCCACAGGTACCTCAGACGGTTCGGTTGTAATGCATTGACACCACCACAACCGACCAAAGGCAAAGTTCATCCACGCCAGCCTTGCTACGTCACAAATGCAAGGAATCTTTTTTTCCGCCGGATACTCCATGACGCATTGCCCTCTCCTTTCGCTTCTTTTTGAGCGCTTGCTTGAGTGCACTGTTTGGAACGAAAAATATAGCCAGTTGTTCAAAATAGAAATGTGCGATTATCATATACGGTTATTATCCGTCATGCTTGACTCCTTTCCGAACGAAATTTGTATATTTAAATTTTTGTGTCCGTACCCCTTTAAATGATGAGGTTTTATTTTATCAGCAGTTGGGTTGGTAACTATGGTAACGGGAAGAGTTTGCGGTAAAGGGTGAAGCATAAAATGACTTAAAGGAACAAAAGCTACCCTTTCCATTTGTAACAAACATTACCTTCCACATTTGGAAAAAAAAAAAAAGTATTTCAGTATGTATCTGTATTACGGGCTGCATTTTTAGTGTTTCTGCAAGAGTATCTCGGGGATATTCCATTTAATGAAAGAGAAATGTACCAGTATTTGTTTTCCCAAATACTTTCGAGTATCTCTGCCCAGCCTTGCCACAGCCCAGCAGACAAAGATGACAGTGCGCAGAAGACGATTATTGGAGTGGTTTATAAGTTTAAAACAGATTTTTGCTCTCCTGTACTCAAACCTCTTGAGGTTGGGGCCATACCTGTCTCGTATGCCTTAAGGCCTTTTGAATTTCAGGTCTGGAATCCCACGACTATGTGATGAAGATAGTTCCCACGGTGTTTGAGAAGTCCCCGTCGGAACGCATTGAGTCATACCAGTACACATATGCTTACAAGGTGAGTGGTGCAGGAGTCCCATCCCTGGAGAGTGCCTGATTATCTGGTTTATTTTTGGGCACAGAGCTACGTCTCCATCTCCCACTCGGGGCGCATCATGCCGGCCATCTGGTTCCGCTACGACCTGACCCCCATCACAGTCAAGTACACCCGGCGCAGTGTGCCCTTGTACAGCTTCCTCACTTCGGTAAGTGGTACGAAAGGGGAAAGGACGCACCCTTTACCCACAAGCTGTGGTACTTGACGCAGCGGCTCTTGGCCCCGACTGCTGGTCTCGTGAATTTGGCTTTGCTCTATGACTAGCGTATGGGCATAAAAGATTTGCGTATTGCAGCTTTGTGGCACGGCCTCTTACATTTGGCATCTATTTCCGCAAGAAATATGATAGAAACTGGGTATCCTGCATTAATACCGAGATTGTCTCGGTTTATACACTATGCTAGAGTTGGCTTTTGCATAGAGTGAACAGCCTGTTCACTGGTAACACGTTGATATTTTTTGTCATTACCGTAAAATCCAGAACATATGTGCACCCAGGGGAGAAGAGATAAATGGTTAAAAATAAAAGGTGGATAATCCTTCAAGCTAAGACGGCAAACCTCTGTGCAAAAATGAGCGACATGCAGGCACTCGCTGCGAACTTGCAGGATACAGGAACTGGTGTTATGGGTACACCAAGCTTGCATTGGACTTCAAGGGGATACTACAACGAAATTTTGGCATTTATTTCATTTATTTCCTGGCAGGCACGGAGCCAGGATTTTGTTTTGGGGGGGAGGGGGAGGGGGAGGGGGTGGAGGAGGTCCCAGTAAAATGGAAGATTTCTGGGGGGGGGGGGGGGGGGGGGCCGGACCCCATGGGCCTCCCCCCTGGCTACGTGCCTGTTTCCTGGCCTATACGTGTTTATGGGAGCAGTATCACATCAGAAACACAAATCTTTTGTTCAAAAAGACACGAAAAAGAATCTTAAAATAAATCAGACGATTAGCAGAGGGCATCTGGTGGATGTCGCTAAAGCCTCGTTTGTAATGCCCGTCTAGGAACCTGACAGGTAGTGATGATGCCTGTCTCGCCTAGAACTACACATGCCTTGAACCTCACGTCATCCTGCCAGCTCTACGGCCACCACGAGAGAAGAGGGGAAGAAAAAACTCCTTTCTCACCTGGACTCTCTTCTGTGTGTTCCAGACGTCGCTATTGTCCCTCTACAAGGTTATAGAAGATTAACCCGTCATTCAAAATTCATACAAAGGCAGCTTTGGGGTTAGTTGCGGTGGCCCGATTGTTGGCATGCTTCGGCCACTTCGGTGGCTGGAACGGCTAGGATATCCTGACGACGTCAGCCTCGCCGCAGCTTTGCTCGTCCCGAGACAATCTACGTCACAATTTCTCCGGATGTCACATGCTCTCCGCTGGCCGCTCTCCGAGCACTTGCCAGAGTGGCCGTTTATAACGAAAAATACAGCCATCAGGCTCAATATACAAACATGCGATTGTCATTTACAGATGCTGTGGATCATATTCAGCCTATTTGTGAACATGACGGGTACATTTTAAATTTCGTTGAAGTATCCCTTTAAAGGGGAACTCCCCGATTTTTCTATAGTTTTTGATTTGACTGGAAATTGGCAGACCACATCAGTAACGGTTTCTCAACTGATACCCAAAATATTTTATAAAGATAAAAGAATTTTGTGAAGTTATTGAATTTCCAAGTTACGCTGGCTGCGAGGGTTCCAAGAGGCGACTCTCTACTGGCAACAAGAACAAAATCCCTACTTTTTCCTACTCGTGTGCGTCACCGACGGGCAGGCAGACGAGTGACCCGGGCAGCCGTGCAGCGGGTTTCCGGGCGCCAGCGATTGTCACAGCTTCAAGGTTGAAAGTTCCTTTGCAATTGGTTGCAATCTGTGCTCCGCGGTAGACTGTAGGAACAGTGCCAGGAAAAGCTTCATTTTTACCCTTGTTTTTGTGAGGGAAAAATGTTCTCCCTGTCAGCAGTGGAGGGGAGCTACGTCAAGGTGCTTTTGCGTAAGCTGTGTGCCGAGAGAACTAGTGTCACGTGAAGCATTCTTACTTATGCTCGGAATACTTTATAGCCGTGTGCTACGAGTTGAGTATCCTTCAGCAGCTGGAGAAGCATCATGAGCGGCAAGCGCACACTCAAGCCGGCTGTGCCCACTACGACATCCGTCCAAAAAGGAGCGCTAATAATGTAGAGAAAAATATTGGTCATTCCAGCACTATGGTCGACATTTGGTGCAGTCACATTTGTTGTTCACTACTGATTCAGTAATTTTTTTTTTCTTTTTCATAAACACTATATTTGTTTTGGACATCGCATCTAGCTCTGGCTACTCTGGGAGTTCCACTGACAAGAAGTGAAACGTCTAAACAGTGTTCAAGTCTGAGTTTAGACTTGACTTTCGACTTTCGACACATCGCTATTTGTGTCTGGTATTGCAGAGATTCAGGGAGCAGGTGTTGAGCTTCATTAATATACGATAGAGCGGTTGCCTGGTTTGTCAAATGGTTGGTGTGCAATATTCTCTCGCAGAAGAAGTGGTGGAACCATCTTCATTTTGTTCTATTGCGGAGAAAGGTTATACATGGCTGAAAAGTTTTTAAGACCATGAAAATATTGTTGTTCAGAGGAGGCATGTAAATTTACTGCTGATAGAAGCTGTGCAAAACCAAAACTTGATTTTAAAAAAATCTTAAATAGAATTACCCCCTTCCCATGTGCACTCGTGAATGAGTGTTTGAGTGCATTGCATTCTACTCCAACATTAAAAAAAAAAAAAAAAGGGTACAAATATTGTTTGGGGGCAACTTTTCTTAACTTGTTTTTTTTTTTTTTTTATTCATTTCTGTGCTTTATGCACTACTGTATTTTCAAGCAAATATTCTTTATTTGAAGATGAATTGTGTATTTGTGTATTTTATACGCGTTTCATTCCAACTTGATGTTTAGCTTGGTGGTTGCAGAGTTATTTTTGTTTTTATTTTAGCACAGTCTTCACGAACAGTAACCTGCCATATGGCCTACACAAATTCCGCTGATCTCACTGTATACATTTCAATGTTTACGAGAATCAGTCTACATGTGTTAGGTCACAGCCCAGCCTGCGCATGTTCGTCGCTTTGGAAGGCGAGCAAAGCGCGTGCCACACGCACGAACGTTGAAAATGGCACCGACCGGAGAAGCACTTTTCTGCAATGGTCTATAGATATTTTGCTAAATTACTTAAGCACCAATAAGCCTATACATGCTACAAAAGCAGTTACACATGCTGGCATCTGCAACCGTAACTTTTCGAAAGAAAGTCTAGAACAAATGGCACGTTCCTTCAGGTAACACGAGCATATGGGGCACCTGTAGCCACATTCCGAGCATTCTTTGTGGTTCTTGGGTAATTTGTCAAAAAATGTATTGATTCTTCTACTTTTTTTCACCAGCGTAACTGCCAGCTTTTGATAGAAGGAGAGCGGATTTGCTAGCGATTTCACGAAAGTAGTGAGCCACAGCTTGAGCGTACTGAGTTGCAAATACAGTTTTCTCAAAATCCCGATTGCTTCCGTTTTTATTTTTACTTTTTCATACTTTAGCACGTAGGCCAAGGTCATACTTCGTGCAACTTCAACAACTTCAGATAGCGTGAACGCTCCTGCTTTCTCGATGTTAGACGTAAGAAAGGCGGGCGCGAGCGTAGCCGATTGACGGCCGCGCCTCTCTGCCCACTGTTGACGTCACATTTGGATGGCGGGAAAAACTAAGTAGAACAATGTTTCGGTTTTGGCAGCGAACAAAATATCACTTTTTTAATTAACTAGAGCGAATGTGGGGGAGTGAGATAGCATTTCAGAACTGGGATGCTATCCGCATTCAGATGATGCCTTTGGATTAGGTAGCTGTTGTTCAGGCGTTGTCGAATGTCGTTGACACCAAAACGAGATGAATAGTGCAGTGCAGACGACACTTACACCTGGCACACGCCCAGCCCAATCCCGCTTGTCGTTGCATAGATCATTTTGCACGCTTTCGGTACCGCGGGTCGCCCCCGTCGGTGGAGGAGGTTTTCGCGTCGTCCGGTTAAAGTATGATGCAGTGATATTTAGTTTCTCTCTCCGTGCCCGCTGGCTTGCCCGAATCCCGAGAGACGTGGAAACCGCAAAAAAGGTAGACGCTTAAATATGATTGCAGGGCCCCTTTAAGAATATAATGCAGTTCTCTTTTAGTATCGCCTAAGAAAACCAGACGCCAAATATTTTGATCTAATGCTGCCTAAAAGTAGATGAAACTCGCAAACAAAGTGTGAGGTGTGCGAACTTACCAAAAAATGCTATTCCTAGCTGGCGATGCGTGGCGTAGCCAACAGCGCAGCCAATACTACAGTGTTGGCGCAGCCCATCCTGCGTTACCTATGTCATGGTCAGGCGCTCAGGGAGATTTGTTTGCTTATTTTATACTTTTTCAAGCAAAGCCTACAGGCGGCTCTAGCAGCGTGCCCATCATTGGCCACGTGATTTGCAGAATGCGCATCTGCTTGTGTGAGCATGCGTCATCGTTGGCAGCATCCCGTTGTGTGCGAGAAAGCCAGTTCCCGACACTGAGCGCAGCATACTTCTACAAACCCGCTGCGACATACTTACATGTGGTTTATTGAACTTCACTTTCTACTAATGTTTCCAAAACAAGCCTTAGGGAAAAGTCGCCACAAGCTGCAGTCGCGGTAGTGGATGCGTCGTCGGGTGTAGCTGATCATAGCAGACGACACTCCTGCCCTTGTGCCGAGCTGCGGCCTCCCACCTGTATGTGATGTCACAATTTGTACCACTTGGTTAGCGCATGTAGGTGACGATACACGAGTAATGTTGCTTGCCGCAGTCAAGGGCTCGGTTTGTGGTAAGTTTTAAATGAAAATGGTGCGAAAAATATTAAGGCCCGTTCACACTCTTGCGACCTCTTAAACCTGGGTTCCTTAAAACTTCTTAAACCAGAGAACACACTGGCGCCATCTATTAGGAAGCAGTGTAAACTCGGCGGTCCGGCATATTTTTTTTATTTCTCGCGCATTATCCTTTCTTTCTTGGCTCGAAAAACTTTTGTCAATGTTATAAACGAGCCTTTCTATGGGTATTACGCACATTTGACCTCGGAAATCCCGCAAAAGCTTCGCTCTTGTG